CCCCCCGCCGCTCCCTCCTCAGCCCGTCTGCTGTCGGTAACCAATGCCGCGCAGCACCAGGGCCGCGTCCTGAGGGGAGGGCAGGCAGGTGGCTTGGCCTGGCCTGAGGCCTGGTGCCTCCAGAGCCTCCGTTCCTCTGCGCGCTTTATCCCCTGTCCCAGTGGGCAGCTGCACTCTCCGGTTTCTCACCCTGGGAGATGGACACCAGCCTTCCCTCCCTGTCACCCACCAAGGAGCCCACGTCCTTCCGCCTGTGAGCAGCAGCACCGGTGCTCCGCCACCTCACTAGCTCCCAGCACATCCCTCCGTCTTGCTGACCCAGAAGGCTCTGCTTTCTCATCAGCCCTTTTTTTCACTTCCCTTATTTTCTTTTCCACGAGGCTGTGGAAAAGGTTGGACTAGATGGTTGGGCTGGATGAGCTTAGAGGGCTTTCCCACCCTTAGTGACTGTGATTCTGTTGTAAGACAACTTCGTGATGGCCTGTTTGCCACCCTCCAGCCTGTTCTGGGTCTTCCATCAGGGGTTTCAAAGGAAACAAAATTATTCAGCTGCACAGAGGTGGATGGTCAAGACACAAATGCGCAAGGAAACTCCTCTGCCCCGTCCCGCTTTTGATCTTCCCTTTCTCAGTCCTGTGACCACAGTTCAGGGGGGTGTGAGCATGAACAAACAGACCAGGGGGACTTTTTGGGCATGTCTGGAACAACCACGGAGCCCACAGCTGCAGTCGCCAGGCGGCTTTGCCGGTTCGTGTGACCGGTTCCCTCGCTGCTGAGGCCGGGTTCACGGCGCTCGCAGACCTGCTGAAAGGCAGCCCCGGAGCATCTGTCTGCAGGATGAGTGCAGGAGGCTCCAGCGAGAGGTGAACGGGTGCGAAAGCTGCCTGAGGACAGGGGTGTCATGGCAAGGGATGGGAGCAGATGGGGTAGCAGGAGATGCACAGCTGCAGTTCGGAGCTGTTAGCTGCTGCAGTTTGCATGGAACCCACAGGGATGAGCTGTCTGTGTCACACAAACACCGAGGTACGCTTCCCCAGCACACAACTACCGCACTTTCTGAATAAACACAGACCCGCAAAGTGAAGCTGGGACTGGATCGTCTCTGAGACAAGGGTTCGGCCTTCTGCTTCCTTCGGCCCAGTTCGGTGTCCTTGCTCCCCCAGCACAGCTCACCCCTCTGAATGCCACCGCTATCTGCTCCGGGCCCAGTCCTGTTCCAGGCTGTTTGACAGGACAGCGCTGGAACATACAGTGCCCCTGAGAGTACAGGCAGGCACAGGGAAGGGAGAAATGCCTGTAAAGACCTTATGGAACAAGACAGATTCAAATAAATCCAAAAAATAAGACAGGGAAAAATTTGGAAAGGGTACAAAAGATTCAACGATGTAGCTGGAGGGAGACGAGAGCCGACCAGCACGCTCCAGGCAAGATCGCATACGTGCCACAGGACATCACGGCTCAGAAACAGCTTGGGCAGGAAGGGGCTTGGAGATCATGGTGAACCACGAATTGCGCACAGCCAGGTGTCACTTGGAGACGTGTACACGGCACACGTGTCTCCGCACGGCCTGGGGGACCCGCTGGCGTGTCCCCATTTGGGTACCGCAGTTTGAGGTGGAGAGAGAGGAGCGATGGCTCACAACAACACACCCCGTCAGGGAAGGCTGGGCGAGTGGAGCGTGTTCAGCCTCGCGGGCACAAAGCCCGGGCGGCAGGACAGGCCAA